TCTGCGTATGGGTGTCGAAGCCAGATGTTGATATTAGGTGTTTTCTTCAATCACTTTGTATTTCATTTTCTGAAGCAAGGTCTCTCCCTGGACCCAGAGCTTGCCAGTCTGGCTAGTCTAGGTAGCCTCTTTAAATGGAGGTCTCTTCATCCTGCTGAGCGCTAGAACGACAGGTGGGCTGGTGGTCTCAGGGGGTTTTTATATGGTGGCTGGGGATCCTTTTACCATGCTTGCAGGAGAAATGCTTTATCTACTAAATCAACATCCAGTGTCCTGCCTTTAAACAAAGAAGCAAAATACAAACAAACAAACAAGAAACTTCAGTGAATGATGAGTTGCTGGCCCCCGGAGAACAGGCTGGATTATTGCTAAAAGCCTCAGAACACAGATTTCTGTTCCTTGAACAGAAAGACAAATGTACTTCAAATGCTCTCAGAAAAACAGTAAAGCTACCTCACTCCCAGCAGTGACGGCCACACTCTGCACACTCTGTGCTGTGCAGGAGACAGGCTGCTTCTTTCCAACTGTTTCCTGCTTGTTTTGTCTGCTAAGGACCAAGACAATTAGTACCCAGACATTTGCAAAGTGTTAAACAGATTTCAGGCGAGTTTAGTTTAATGTAACGTCAAGGAGGGAGTAAAGGCTATTGAGTGTTCATCATAGGCCAAACACTGAACTGAGTTTTTAAAAATATATAATTAAAATTATTTGTGTGTGTGTATTGTCTTTTTCCTACTTGTTAAAATTAAATGATTTGCCCAAAGTCACCAGCTAGTGAGCAACAGGATTTGGATTTGAAGTGTAGTTTAACTCTGTCTGTGCCCTCCATGATTTTACTATATTTGACAAATCAAGTTGATTTTCTCCTTTCCTTCTTATTTCTTTCAAAAAAAAAAAAAAAAAGCATTTGTTCACTGCTTGTACTGTCCTGAGCACTTGGCAGGTGGGAAAAGCCAAGATGGTCAAGTGAGACCGGCTCATTTTCCTGAGTATTTGAAAGCCAGAAACAAAATAACGAAGTAATACAACGTAGCACTGGATGCTCGGATATAGGCCATAAGGATAAACGAATAAGAATTCAGGCTCCTGGGCGCTTGTGGCGCTTGTAAGCACAGGTGAGCTCTATAGCAGCCCTGAGCTGCATGCGGGTGGAGAGCCGAGCTCCAGAGAAGATAGAGGATGTGCCGAAGGCACACAGATGACAAGTGTGGGTCTCCTACTGGAGTGGGAGGCTCCAAGGGGCACTCAGGCCTCAACCGCTCTCTTTGAAGAAAGTTTGGAGCAGGTCTTGCGGATTCCCCGGAGTTCTCCCCATTCCCCGTTTAAAACGGAAAATGAATTATGATAGCCTGCAGTGGTTCCATTGAAAGATGAGCTGTTGCTCTGCTTCAGTAATGTCGCATGTACTTTGGAAAAGAAGATTTTTGAAGCAACGTTCTTTTTTAAAAGGCAAGTAGAAAGCTTCACTTCTCCGGCAATTCTCCTTACAGGCGGTCAGAGTAGCTTTTGAACCATTATTGCAGCATTTGCGGGTAATGGAGTCGACAGCTAACTTTACACTCCGGGACTGAAACTGCCTCTCAGCTGCAGTAGAGGAGAAGGGAATGTGTTTTCAGAGTACTGAGCTTGATGACATCACAGAGCCTGCTAGGTCTCTGAAGGTCAACACTGCAAGGGTCAGCCAAGCTTTCCCCAATGTTTCTGAAGAAGTCAAATCCTTCCTTGCCTGGGAACTGCACGCTGCTCTTCAGTCTCAATAGAACCCTCTGGACACATGACACACTCCCAGTTTGAATTTAATTGGGGTTGGATTACTCCAAGTCTCTTCCCCTAGCTCCACCCATTTCTAACATCTTCCCCCCTAACTCCACCCACTCCTAGTCCCTTTTCCTAACTCCACCCACTCCCAGTTCATTCCCCTACCTAGCTCTACCCACTCCCAGTCCTTTCCCTTAACTCCACCCACTCCCAGTACCTTCCCCCTAACTCCACCCACTCCCAGTCCCTTCTCCCTAACTCCACCCATTCCTAGTCCCTTTCCCTAACTCCACCCACTCCCAGTCCCTTCTCCCTAACTCCACCCACTCCCAGTCCCTTCTCCCTAACTCCACCCACTCCCAGTCCCTTCTCCCTAACTCCACCCACTCCCCTTAACTCCATTCATGGATCACTCTCTCATTATAGTGTTGGGCAACTGAGGCAGACTGTTCATACATATTGTTAAAGTAGATGTCATTTTCTGTTAAATTTTTAGTACATCCAATATTGGGAAGATGGTTTTTGTTAAAAAAAATAAGCTGATACAAGTTCATTTTCTTGTAAGTCAGTAACAAACTGGATCTGGGGAGCCACTGGGTCCTTTAGCGAAGCTATCTCCCTTCTGTTAACTGTTGTCTTTGACCAATTCAATTAATTAGTTAAGACTATCTGCTTGACTCTTACAAGCATTTGGCTTGCTAGCCAAGCCTCCTGCAAATGCTTTAGTCTGCCAGAGTTCTCCTTGCTTTCTAGAGTAAGTCATCTTTAGGTAACTTTTCTAAGTTTAAACCTGGTATCAATGCTCACCAAAGAAAGGCAATTTGGGCCCTTCATGGGGGAAAATATTTCTTTTGGCAACCAACTAGCAATGTGAGACAGTTATTCTCCTGGCCAGCTTGGGGAGCCAATTTCCACTCTTCAGGTCAGAGGCAGCATTTGCCAAAGGAGTGAAAACCGATAAAGCTTATAGAATTTGTTATGGCTGGAGATCATAGGGTTCAAGATTTCAGAAGTTCACTCTTCTCCGCATGACACTGAGTTTGGAGTGGAGGTTTTCTTCATGCTAGGACCTCCATTTGGCTCGGGTCTTACCCTTAGCCCACTGTTACTGCTTTTGGAATACTTTTTTTTTTTTGGGGGGGGGGTAAATCAGGGCCTTTGAAAGTTCTCCTCGAATTCCTTAGAGATCGGCAAAAGAAGACTATTGAATTGGTGATTTGGGAGACAATTCTAATAACCCCTCCAGCTCCTCTGGGCCAGCCTTGAATCTTTGCCTTCTGTTTTGGTATAGTTGCCTAAGGAGACTCAGAGACTCTATTGGGTGTGAAGTATGTTAATAGACCTTAGAAGACCTGGAAAGGGTCACAGTGTCTTCTCAGGAAGATGTAAGCCATTCTTTGAGGATTAGACATTGGGTTTCACTGCAGACTCAAAGTCAAGAGATTCAAACTCCGACCCCTCTTTCTGTAGTGGTTCCCTTTCTGTAGCTGTGGAGATATTCCCAGACTTAGACAGGAAGAGTAGGTTAAATCTGGCTCATCGTCCTAGAGGGTCCATTCATGGTCAATTGTCTGTGCCCTTGGGTAGGGTATTATGACAGAAATGGCATCGTGTGGCAGAGAAGAGCTTCCCACTTTGTAACTGGAAATAGCCAGAGATAATATACCTTCAAGGATTCTCCCCCCCCACCCCCGGCCCTGAGTAAACTACTTCCCCCAGTATAACTCTAGCTCCCAAAGTTTCTGGAACTTACTAAAATAGGATCAAATATTTGAAACGAGAGCCAATTGGAGACATTGCAATGTCAAACCATGATAGTTTCTCACACAACGATGTAGAAGAATTCTTTAATCTCTTCTCAAGGGACCCAGATTTTAATCCACTCTTGGCTTCTCCTTAGGCAATCTTTGACTTCTGTGGTCCTGTGGCACGTGCCCATAAGACCCTATAACCAAGCCTGCCTGCCTTCCTTCCTTCCTTCCTTCCTTCCTTCCTTCCTTCCTTCCTTTCTTCCCTCATTCCTAATGCTGGAGATGGAACCCAGGGGCCACTCAGTTACTATGTGAACACTCCACTGAGATACAGCCCTAATCTGGATTTTTCTTTTAAAGAGCTGGTTGGACAATGTTGGGTACAGCTAACATTGCCACCATTTTAAGCATTAAAGCTCTGAGGTAGTTTCAGTGTTCTCTGGGCAGATATCACCACCTAAAATCCACCTTCTTTAATGGCATGGCTTCGCCTGAGACTAGAGAACACCCTCCATTTTCTTCTTGTACCAACATAAGCATAAAATTCTGTTTTCTATAGAAACTCATGATAGTTCTGTAAATGCCCAAATGGAAATGGATAATTGAGTCAAACTCTCTTCTAGACAGATCACATTTAGAGAAAGACTATTTCCACTATTGCTGTTGCTAAGACAAAGTTCTTATAGTCCCCTTTAGGTGAACGTCAGTCAGCAAGCATGAGTGAGCCCTTCATTCAGGGTGGGACAAAAGAGGGATTTAACGAAAGTTTCAGAAGTCATGAGATTTACACACAGCATCAGTTATGGTGAATTTAAATGCATCTTAATAATAGCTGAGCCACATTTTCCAACAAAGCTGCCAAGTGGTGTTGCCTGAAACAAACATGCCCAGTCTCTCTCTCTCTTTTTCTTTCTCTCTCTCCCTCCCTGCCTCCCTCCCTCCCTCCATCCCTCTCTCCCTCCTCTCATTTTCTTTTTCTTTTGGCTAGTTTTATAAAATCAGAACTGAATTATTTTTTAATGTCTCCCAACGTGCAAGCAAAATCTTTGTTTTAGAATTTGATTTTGGATTAATATGGGCTCCAAATGCCCCATGACAACTGGTGTCCTTCAAAAGAGGGTAAAAACACAGCCGTATAGCTGTCTCCTGAAAATGGCAGGTGATGGTGGATGCCCATCCCAGAGCAAGGCGTCTGTGAGTCAAGGAATACCGAGCATTTCTGGAAAGACCTAGGGAAGGCGGGGAAGAATCTTATTAGAGAAAGAGAGAGAGAAACAGAGAGACAGAGACAGAGAGACTTTGCAAATAGCTTGATTTGAAATGTGGAATTTAACTTGTTAGAGAACCCATGATTTTGTTGTTGTTTTTGTTTAAATATTTAAGCCACCACACTGTGGTTCCTTGTTGCAGCCTTAAGAAATTTCTATAGAGACTATGTCGGACAGTGAAGAAGTGGTCAATACAGGCAACTCTGCTGCTCATCCAAAAGTTCCGTGACCATCTTCACAAGACAGATTTTCCTTTGTAGACCCACAGTGAACTTAGATGGCACCACTAATAAAAATGATAGTCTTTGGCAAGTACCTCTCCGGCTGCCACTTTATGTATTTTATGTATTATCACATTGAGGCTCACATTACTGGTGTTTCCCCCCCCCCCAAGATTACAAAACAACCAACTTGAAGAATAAATAAGAAGAGCTGCCTGTGGTCATGCTGCTATAATGTCATCTGTGAGCTTGTTTCTCCCTCCGCACTGCTCCTCAGCGACTGAAGACAGCTTTCAAAAATGCTTGAGCAACCCACATATCTCTGAACTAATTGTACCATGCCCCAAGGCCACGGATTTGCAGAATAGTGCTCTTGGACAGTAAGTTCTGGTATTTTTGTTTAAAATTTCCCTGCCATTACTTACAGCCACATCTTGTCTCTATTATGCTGAACTCTGTGCCTGTTTAACTTAAATCATAACTTCCCTGGGAAGGGTTGGAACTTCTTTTCCATCTTGTAGAAAGTTAAAGAAACTTCTTAGTAAATTACATGATCAGTAGCTAGGCAGCACAGCAACCCCTGCGCATCATGACCCCCCACCCGCAGGCTCTGAAGACAAAGAAGATGCTCAGTTGTGCAATTTTCCACTCTTCTAATAATAGTGTGGGTCAAGTTAGTCCTAGCTCAATGTTATAATCCAAACAATATTTCACTCCATGTGGAGGGATCGCTGAGGCCACTGTGTGTGGAGACAGCTCACGGTAAACTCTGTTTTGGCCTTTCCAACATTTGTTTCCTGACCCTTGCTTCGCGGCGCTTGCCACACACGCACTCACAGAACAGTTCTAGCGATGCCATGCTCTTCCTTTTCTTCGTGGATCTTCTTTAGAAGGACCAGACCAGCTTTTCAGGACCGGTACTTTGGTGGCCAGCTTGTTTGACACTGCCTCTCTAACGTGAGTGGAGTAAAATCCAGTATGGAAGTGTCCATCTCTGCTAGTCAAGTGGGGACTGGCATTACTTGGCTCCCAAGTCAAAGCAATGTGGCTCATCTCTTGTGGAAAGTGTTATTATCAAACTCTGTGACCTTTTGTTTTGTTTTCTGAGTGAGACACTGAGAAGATAAAGTGACATGTGTTTCTGATGACCAATTTTGATTAAACTTTATGTTTTTTGATCCTGAAGTATTACTATAATAGTGAATATATTGATGGAAGTATTTCTAGACTGTATGTCATAGACTTCATGGCTCCTTTTTAAAAATATTTTTTAAGTTTTATGTGTAAGAGTGTTCTTGCCTATATGAATATATGTGTACTATATACATGTCTGGTGCCCATGGAGTCAGAGGAGGACACTGGATTCTCTGAAGCTGAAGTCATGGGTGCTTATGACCTACTATACGGGTGCTGTGAATCAATTCTTGGTCTTCTGCAAGAGCAGCAAGTACTTAACCATCTCAACAAGGCCATTCATCTCCCCCCTTTAAAAAAAACACTCTGTGATTTTTGATTTTGTTCTTTAAATATTCTTACACATAAAATCAACTATATCTGTTCATTTCTGAGTATGTTTGGTTATCCCATTTCATCATACTTTGCATTCAGAACTGTTTAAAATTGTCAATTGTTTTCAAGGTAAAATTATAAACCTAGGGCTCATCGTTCCAAGTCTTCCACAGTTCTATTTCTTCTTACCTTATTTGCCCATCCATATATCCACCCACCCAACCAACCACCCACATTTCCTGTCCATCAATTCAATAAAACTATATTTAGTATTTAGCTGGTGCCAGGCATTATACTTGGTGCTGAAGATGTACCGTGATCCAGACAGGCTGAATCTTTCTCCCCATAGAATTTGTTCATTGGTCATTGGTGCTGAGTTGGAACACAAGACCTGGTCACATAGTACAATATGTTGTATGAAAGAGATTGCAGGGTCACATAAGCCCTGGACACTCTGCAAATGAAGTAGCATGCAAGCTAGGATCTGATCTAGGAAGGAAACGTGCCCACGTGAAAGGTTTCTTGGTGAGTGGGCTAACAGGAGTGAAGGCCTGGGGAGAGACAGCATGCCCACCTAGGAAAGAAAAAAGTAAACTATCTGGAAGGTAGATTGATGTATGGATGGGGCCAGCAAAGTGAGGGTTAGAGGAAGAAACAAGAGCCTGAGCCCACTGGGCACTAGCGAGTTAGGGATCTCAGTGAAATAGCATAGTAGGTTTTCAAACAGAGGGAAGGAACTAAGAGGACTTGCTGTCTTAACTCCAGTGGACAGATGGTAGAAATCCTCTGAGGATCTCCGGTCTCACAAGAGGTGATGGGGCAGACCATAAACATGGCAGAAGAGACAGGAGATGCAGACACATTAGAAAGGTTTGGCCGCAGTCTGGTCCCCAATATGCCATGTAATTTATTTCAGCACCCATTCATTCCCCTGCTAGGCAAGTTTAACCCATATTAACCCATATTCATGGGTTGAAATTCTTCCTGTGTTGCTGTCAGTTCTACATGAAGCCTTCTTTGACCTGCCCCTCAGCCCCAGGAACCTGTCTGAAAGAACTTTAGCAAGACAGTTGCTCTATGCCTTTGCTTTGCCCAGAGAACTAATTTACAACAGTAATCTTTGTTTTCACGTGCACTGATCTTCTTCGGTGTCTACTGGATGATAAGAAACAACAGAGTACATCCCACCAATGCTGGGCCTTTAGAATGTGTCCTGTCAATCAACTATCATTTTGCCTTGGTTCTGAAAATTCTCTAGTTGGGTCTGCCCTCCCCTGGTCTCATCTTACATTATAAAGCTTGCTTTTTTTTTTTTTTTTTTTCCGAGACAGGGTTTCTCTGTGGCTTTGGAGCCTGTCCTGGAACTAGCTCTGTAGACCAGGCTGGTCTCGAACTCACAGAGATCCGCCTGCCTCTGCTTCCCGAGTGCTGGGATTAAAGGCGTGCACCACCACCGCCTGGCTCATCTTACATTATAAAACCATTTAGTCAACCTAGGTGCTCATTTCATGCATGTGCTTATGCATGCTTTTATTTATTTACTCAATATACTTATTCAAAGTCTTCCATCTTATAGGCTTGACTCCTTGATTTTTACTGGCTTTCTCTTATCATTGTGGATATCATAGTTTCTAACATGATAATTAAAGGGACCGGACTTTTTTTTTCTGATATAAACAAACACATGGTACTCAAAGGAGCCATCTCAAGGCACAGGAAGTAACCGAGGTACAGAGCAATTCCTTTGGCTCTCTAGGTAGAATGCTTTGATAGTTGGCACATGCCCTGCACAAAACAAAAGACCCTCAATTTGGGTATTTGAGTGTAGGCTGGATCGAGTTAATCCTGTCCTGTTTTTTTTTTTTTTAAACAGTTCCTGCTGTTTACTCAGTAGAAGCAGAACTAAACAGTACCAGATCCTCCAAAGGCAGCACTCAGAAGAACGAGAGACACAATGAAGAGCTCTTAATGTAAAGAAACATTTTGGCTTTGCCCCGTCATCTCCAAAGCTCTCAGCCTGCCATCACCCAGACCCCACCCTGTTGAAATGGGTGCTGGACTAACCCTGGCTGGCAGGAATGCTTTTGAGTTCCAGGATTCATCTAAACTGTGCTTGCTGTAAGTGATTTTTATGCTAACCTTGCATTGAAGTCCTTTTTTGGCAAATGCTTGGCTCTATAAGATTAAAAATAATTTGGAGGGCAGGATTTCTACCAGGAATTGATCAAACAATGTGCTGTCATGAGCTGGTTCCAAATTCCTAATGCATCTGCTTTCGACAGCCCCCGCTTTATAAATCTACAATCCCCCGTTTGTCTGAGTTCAGTCTGCTTGTGTGCTGGAAGAACCACACCCCTTTATTTCTGGCCCTGAGGGCTTCTTTCCAAGTTTGGGGGAGGGGGGAGGATCACTCAAATAAGAAGTCACAGAAGCCTTAAATAAGACGGTTGTTGCAAGCATCCTTGTTGAACATTTAGCAAGCTATCCCCTTGCCTTTCCTCATCAAGGCAGATGTAAAACAGCCGCCTCCATGGTCCTGCCAGGGCAGCCATCTTGAGTTCAGACACTTTTCTGAGTTCCTCTTGAAACTTTCCAATTGAATACATATGGTTTCCAGCAGAAACCGGATGTCTTGTTTGTTTGTTTAATTATTTTTATCTGAAGTTGCATCATGACCCAGTGGGTCATTCTGTAGGGATTTTTTTAGGCTCATCTGGAGGCCGTGCTTGGGCTTCTGTGATCCAAGATGTTTCCTTCCTGGATTGCCTGTGCCTTGTCTAAAGTTTGGTATTTCTTTATTTTCTTCATTTTTTGATACTGGATTTTTTTTTATTATTAGGTCACTTTAATTCGCAAATAACAAAAACCTGAGCAGAACTTGCTCAAAGAAAAGTGGAATTCACTAGCTTTCATAAGCTGAAAAGCAGAGGTGAGCAAGACTGCATTCAGGGCTCAGAGGGGTCATCAGGACTCGGTTTCCTTTTCTTGGCCCCATTTCTTGATATCGGTAGCTTGACCTCATACATCACAGGCAATAGTGGCAATATGTCCTTCAATTTCAGGTCCTCCAGAACAAGAGTTGTTGGAGGTTACTTCCCAGGGTGTGCATCAAGAACTTAAACACAGTGGTCACTGGATGGAATATTTCACATTACCTGGTTTTGAAGAGATCAGTGTGGCTGGCAGCTGGGAGCGAGGGCAGAGTCCTAAATACAACAGATGGGAAGACACGCCCATCTCAGTTGCCTTCTGCTACAAAATCAATGTGACAGTTGTAATTCCTCTTTCTTCTTCATTCACCCTACATAAGATGATGCTGGTCTGATGGGAGATCTGCCTTGTGAAGTCTTTTAAAATAGATTTATGAACAAACATCACAGAGACGTGAGTGATGCTTTGATACTCGTCGCTCTCCATTTTTTTTCCTATTTAGCTACACGATATTTTTCTGCTCACTTTTTTTCAATATTTTGTTTTATTTCATGTGTATAAGTGTTTGGGCTGCATGCGTGTCTTGCACGATATCCATGGATCCCCTGGAACTGGAGTTACAGATGATTGTGGACCACCGTGTGGGATACTGGCAACTGAACACGGCAGCCAGGATGGTACCATAGCTACTGTCCCGATTCTGGAGAAGGTTCCCAAGAAGACTCCTGGGTGTAGAGCAGTGCAGTCCGGAAGCGGATCGTAACGGAGCGTGCTGACGAGGAGCTGCTGAGAGAGAATGCTGGGAGCTGCTATTTAACAAGATGTTCAGACCACTTTCAAGGCCTGTACTGTGTGACTTTCTGCCGGTTGTCATTGGTAAGATGTGACATTGAGGGGTAGCACTCACTGGTACCAAAGCTCCGACAATTAGGAGAAGGCAGCAAACAACCTGAAACAATACAGGACAGGCAATTCAAGAAGAGACAGAGTGGTACAGGTGACACCCATGCAACTAAGGTCCCCTGGAAGGCTGTGGGTTGACACATTCAGCAGAAACCACTGTTTTCATTAGTTGGGTAAATATCTTAAAATGTTTTATTTGTTTCACAATTTTAAACTAAAAACAAAGATAGTAAAGCCCCCCACCCCCCAAACATCTTAGCTTCCCAGTGGTCAGAAGGGATCCTCTCTAAGGAATGAGTGTTATTACACACACACACACACACACACACACACACACACACACACACACACGAAACCTTCAGCATAGAGCAGGGACTCTTGGGTGCGTGTTACTGGGTAGCAGGATAAATTACGGCTATTTAGCAAAATCAAACAGTGTCAACTTGAAAGAGAAGCTTGAGTTGTGAAAACACTCTGGGAGGAGAACACTCACAGAGCAAGCAAGAATTCTTTGCAGCTTGTTTAAACTCAGCAAAGTAATTCATTCTAATATGAAGAAAAGAAAGACAAAAGGAAGGAAGGGAAAATGGAGAAAGAAAGAAAGAATAAATGGATAGAAAGGAAAGAAAGAAGGAAGGAAAGAGAGAAAGAAAGAATAAATGAAAAGGAAGAAAGGAAAGAAGGAAGAAAGGAGAGAGAGAAAGAAAGAATAAATGAATAGGAAGAAAGGAAAGAAGGAAGGAAGGAGAGAGAGAGAGAGAAAGAAAGAAAGAAAGAAAGAAAGAAAGAAAGAAAGAAAGAAAGAGAGGAGACTTAAAGACTCTCTGTTTTCTGGTTTCCAGCTGTGTGATTACTGACTCAGAGCTGGGCTTGGCAGCTGAGTGATTCGATCTGGAATTGCGCCCTGCCCAGCCATGGCACACACTGAAGGCAGTCAGTGTTAGCCCAAGCAACCAGCCCCGTGTCTGTCAAAATTTAAGCTAACTATGGCATATGGGATTAGAGAGGGATCACAGAACCTCAGACATTTCCAAGAAAAATGAATAATATAAGGTTAGGCCCTAGCTGGTCTGCGTCTCATTAATCCCCCTTTCCACAATGGTGGGCGGGCGGCTTGGGCTGTGGGCTGCAGACGGGGAGCACACTTCGCCGGGGTTTTGTTCTATTCTCCAGGCTCCTCTTAGGCACCAGAAGTATTCGTTTTCTGGCATGAGCAGGGATTTAGAGCTCCGGTGTCCAATTTGCTCTTTTGATGGCTTGAACAGCTGGCTGAGCCCTTGAATAGTTGGAAGGGGCCATAGAAACCTGCGATTACGATGTATTCTGCGGCGCTTAGCTCCCGGGGCTCTCTGTAAGTTTGGCTTCTCCAGTAGAGCACCCAGCTGGCTCTGTCCTCAGGTCCAACCTGAACATGGTGGTCAGAGGCAGCTTCTCAAGTCACCATTAAAACAGATGATCTCTGCACAGGGACCAGAAAGGGTTCTCCACTTTGTGGCCAGTAGAGCCTCTGAATACTTTCATCTTGATAGACCATGATGGTTCCATTCCAACTGTTTAAACACAGTCCTCATTTCTACCCCCACATCTTTGACATTTCGGTGTTCCCTGGCCTGGAATGTTTCCTTTGCACTATTTTCTGGGCCCCTGTCCTATTTAGGCATTTCCAGGTCTGTGACTTCTCTATCAGGTTGTTTATCTCATATAGCATTCTGATCTCCTGGGCAATTAGTTGTGTCCTGTTGTGAAGAGGCCACTTGTTCCTTTCCTGGCTGCTCAGCAGCTCAGCCCCAAAATAATCACACAAAAACTATGTTATTTAAAACACTGCTTGGCCCATTTGCTCTAATTTCTTATTGGCTAATTCTTACATCTTAATGAATCCATTCTAGTAACCTGTGTATTGCCACGAGGCTGTGGTTTACCAGGTAAAGTTCTAGCATCTGTGTCTGGTGGGGCTACATGGCTTCTCTCTATTCGGCCTTCCTTCTTCCAGCATTCAATTTAATTTTCCCCACCTTGCTAAGTTCTGCCCTGCCATAGGTCCAAAGCAGCCCTTTATTAACCAATCATATTCACACCATACAGAGGGGGAATCCCACATCATACTGTTTCTTTTTTGTTTGTTTGTTTTGTTTTGTTTTCAGCACAGTTTTTGAAATGACTCTTGTGTTGATGAGGCTGTCCATTTCCTCCTCCCTTATGTGTCTCACCAGAACTCACACAATAGCAGGTATTTAGTAATTGTTCATCAACTAAATGAACACATCGCTAAATGGTACTGGGTGGCACTGAGAACATTCTTGAAATCTGAATAAAACACAAGCTAGAGAAGAACCTCCTAGCCTGTCCTTGCATGTTCCAAGTCTGAATTTGATTTACTAGTAGGTCCATGTGCCTTGGACACCACTTACTCTAACCTGACCCCATAGAAGATACTGGAACCTGCTTACAGCAACAGGATTTGCCAAATGTCCATCCCCTGCTCAGAAGCCGATAGTGACTTCCTCCTGGCACACACGTAAGTTACACGTGGCCCCAGACTCTACCTTCATCAGCTCCTACCAGACACATCAGCCTGATTCCTTTTTCCCGCCTTCTCATGCCTGCCTCATCCCCGAGGAGAACCTAGCCATGTCTGCTCATGGGACCGCTGTCTCTGTCCTGTGGGCACAATGCCTTCTGAAGGTTTAGGTTTAAAGGCCATTGAAAAGTGCCTCTTGTTAAAGCTTCTGCTTTTGGGGTCCCCAAAGGGGGAAAACAAAAAAATCCGACTTACCATTCAGTGTCTGTGACTTGTAGATTGGGAAATAAATAAATAAACAAACAAAAGCAGGCGTATTTAAAGCATTAGTGACACGTCAATTGCTTCCAGCTTGTGCTATTTCCTCTTGAACTCTCATCCTCTGACTGTTGGTGTCCCTGCTCTGGGGCCTGAGCCCACCCTTCAAGAAAATCTTCTTGGGGAAGAGGAAGCCAGAAAAAAATGTGGCAGTTACTGAGTTGAATTAGCACTTCATAGCTAAGCAAAGTCTCCCACCACCCCCTTCCTGCTGAGCAAGCTGGGTCTACCAGAGATTTCCAGGAGGTGAAAAGATAGAAAATTCTGCCTTCCCTGGGAGCCGGGTAGCATTAGCTCTCCAGTTGGAAGATGCTGGTCCACAGCTGAAGAGGCTGAAAACCCAGGGTGAGGATGTGGTAATGACCCAGGCTCAGCACCAGCTGGGAGCCTTCTCAGGCTTCTCCTCACTCTTGTTTTAAAAGGATCAGAGTAGAGTGTGATGGGATTTCCGGATGGGCAGGGTGAAGGTTTAGGATGGGATTTAACCTGGGGGCTGCAGAGGATCTGAGCATTAGCCTCTGAGCTCTCCTCATCCATCAATGGCACGGTGGGTGTGAGAATACCCGTGCAGCTGAGGCAGCTGCGTGAAGAACATTAGCATTAGGAGAGATGGGTGAGACCAGTTTTCTTTAGATGAGAAAACCGAAGCCTCACAAGGATCCACAAAAATCCTTCTTGTATTTTCTTATTCATGCCTTCATCCATTCCATTAACACTTATTCAGTAGTTACCACCCAAGGTCCTAGCGCATTTGTAACACAGCTGGGAATGGAAGCTAGAGTTTCTCATTCCTGGTGCAGTACTGTTCCCCCCTTGAAGCATATTAAGTCAGCATGTCCACTGCATATGACCTAGACATATCTTGAGCACCTACTGATGGCCTACTAAGACCAACACATGCTCAACATAATTACTTAAGTCACTTCTTCTTCTTCTTCTTCTTTTTTTTTTTTTTTTTTTGGATTTTCGAGACAGGGTTTCTCCGTAGCTTTTGGTTCCTGTCCTGGAACTAGCTCTTGTAGACCAGGCTGGCCTCAAACTCACAGAGATCCGCCTGCCTCTGCCTCCCGAGTGCTGGGATTAAAGGTGTACGCCACCACCGCCAGGCCTCTTAAGTCACTTCTTGTACCATCTTAAAAGATGTGCCTTTGTCCCTTTTTATGATGAGGAAGTGGAGACCCAGAGATGTTGGAGGAGACTGCTAGTTAGTTCCCGGCTGCTCAGTCCCAAAATAATCACACAGAAACCATATTATTTGCAAGACTGTTTGGCCAATAGCTTAAGTATATTCCT